AGAATTGATTTGTGGGGATGCCTGGGTAGCTCAGTCGGTTGAGTGTCTGATTCTTCATTTCCGCTCCAGTGATCTCAGGGTTGTGGGATCAGGCCCTATGTCAGGCTTTATGCCCAGTGAATTTGAGTTTTTCTCTCCCTCTCCCTCTGCTCCCTCCAATACTTCCCCTTGTACATGCCTGCATTCTCTCACTCTCTCTAAAGTAAATAAATCAATCTTTCTTTAAAAAAGAATTTATTAGGGGCGCCTGGGTGGCTCAGTGGGTTAAGCCTCTGCCTTTGGCTCAGGTCATGATCCCAGGGTCCTGCTGGGATCGAGCCCCACATCGGGCTCTCTGCTCAGCAGGGAGCCTGCTTCCTCCTCTCTCTCTGCCTGCCTCTCTGCCTACTTGTGATCTCTCTCTGTCAAATAAATAAATAAAATCTTTAAAAAAAAAAAAGAATTTATTAGGTCAAAATCTAAGGGAGGGCAGGATCTCAGACAAAAGAAGAAATCAAGGAATCTGCTTTAGTTTGAAAATATTTCTTGAATCAGGCAAACTTGAGCTTCAATTTCCAGTCTTTTTTTTTTTAAGTTTTATTTATTTAAGTAATCTCTATACCCAATGTGGGGCTTGAACTCATGACCTCGAGATCAAGGGTCTCACACTCTTCTGACTGAGCCAGCCAGCTGCCCCACAATATCCACAGTCTTTTCTCTGACTGAACCAAAGTGAATTTAATAGATTTCCAAATTTTCCAACATTGATAAAGGACAACAACTTACAGGTCCAAAAGCAGGATAAATTAAAAAAAAAACAAAGAAAGGTAAATAATTAGAAATCTATACCTACCCATAAGAGTAAAATTTATTATTTTTTTAATTTATTTTTTTACATTTTTATTTCCTTATTTTTAAAGAGTAAAACGAGGGCACCAGGTGGTTCTGTAGTTTAGTGTTTGCCTTCGGCTCAGGTCATGATCCCAGGGTCCTGGGATGGAGCCCCCCATCAGGCTTTCTACTCAGTGGGGATTCTGCTTCTCCTTCTCCCATTCCCCCTGCTTGTGCTCTCTCTCTGTCAAATAAATAAATAAAACCTTTAAAAAACAGAAAGAAAAAAAAAACTTAGAATACCACAGACAAAGAGAAGATTTTAAAGGCAGCAAGATGGGCACCCGAGTGGCTCAGTCAGCTGAATGTCTGCCTTCGGCTCAGGTCGTGATCCCAGGGTCCTGGGATCGAACCCTGCGTTGGGCTCTCTGCTCAGTGGGGAGCCTGCTTCCCCCTCTTCCGCATTTCTTCCTGCTTGTGCCCTGTCTCTCTCTCTTTCTATCAAATAAATAAGTAAAATCTTTTTTTTTTTAAGATTTTATTTACTTATTTGACAGAGAGTGAGAGAGCACAAGCAGGGAGAGCAGCAGGCAGAGGGAGGAGTAGGCTCCCCGCTGAGCAAGGAGCCCTGATGTAGGACTCGATCCCAGGACTCCGGGATCATGACCCGAGCCAAAAGCAAATGCTTAACTGACAGAGCCACCCAGGTATCCCATAGGAAGTTCTTTTTTGTTGTTGTTTTTTTTTTAGATTTTATTTATTTATTTGACAGACAGAGATCACAAGTAGGCAGAGAGGCAGGCAGAGAGAGAGGGGGAAGCAGGCTCCCTACAGAGCAGAGAGCCCGATGCGGGGCTCGATCCCAGGACCCTGGGATCATGACCTGAGCCAAAGGCAGAGGCTTTAACCCACTGAGCCACCCAGGCGCCCCACCATAAGAAGTTCTTAAACAAGACCCAAAGGCACAAAGCATAAGGAGAAATCTTGATGAATTTAACCACATCAAAATTCTGGATTTTTTAAAAAAGATTTTATTTATTTATTTGAGAGAGAGAGGAAGGAAGCACAAGCAGGGGGAGGGGCAGAGGGCAAAGCAGGCTCTCCACTGAGCAAGGAGCCCACTGCTTTGGGCCTCTATCCCAGAACCCAGGAGTCATGACCTGAGCCAAAGCCAGAAGCTTAACCAACAGAGCCACCCAGGTGTACCCAAAACCAGGATTTCTTTCAGTGAAGCTCACCACAGATAAAGCTAACAGAAATGTACATAGTACAGTTGCAACGTCTAAAACCCATTTGAGGGACACCTGGGTGGCTCAGTCGTTAAGCGTCTGCCTTCAGTTCAGGTCATGATCCCAGGGTCCTTGGATCAAGCCCCACATCGGGCTCCCCGCTCAGCAGGAAGCCTGCTTCTCCCTCTCCCACTCCCACTGCTTATGTTCCCTCTCTCGCTGTGTCTCTGTCAAATAAATAAATAAATAAATAAAGGAAAAAAGAAAAATCTGATGTACGCTCACAGTGGAACTTTAATGCAGCAGGAAGAAGAGCGGAGAAAGAAAGGTAAAGGATATGCCCCTATGTCATTTATCAAGAGAGCAAAGATTTTCCCAGGAGCCTTAGCCATTAGACTACTGCTTGCATTTCACGGGCCAAAACTGTGTTCCTCCACCAGACACGGTCATACTTAACTAAAATGTGACTAGAGAGAAGTGGGGGTCACAGATAGGGGTTGTGTCCTCTAATTAGTGATGTCTAACACATAATCTGGTAGATTTCTTCTAATTGCTGAAAGAATTCCATAGCATGCATTCACCACATTTTACTGTGATGGCTAGAGGGACAGTAGCCATCTTGTGGCCATGAGGAAAAGTCAAGAGGCTCCCAGAGAAGGCCCTGCCATCATCAGTTTATATCAACAACAGCTTATCCCTGAACTTCTTAATCTTGTGTGAAGAATAAACCCCTATTTGGTTAAGCCACTTGTGGCCATTAGGGCTCAACAGTAGGCAACAGAAATAGATGTGGCCAGTTTGGACATAAAGGAATGGAGAAACAGGTTCTAGGTTCAGAAACAACTCCCAGCTTTGAGAAGCACATGACTTCTGCCTGTGATCGGGAAGCAACAGTCATTACTAGAGGAAGCTGATGAATCAGGAAGATCCTCACCAGAGCCCCACTGCATCTGTCCTGCTCTGTGACAGCAAAACACATGTCCTGTGGTATTTAGCTCTGTTCCAAATTTATGTCTTGCACAAGAGCAGAACCTAAATCACGGATTCCTGGCTCAAGGGAATCGAGGAAGTGTCGTTTTGGTTTTCCAGCTCCTGTAGTTCAGAAGAAACATGAAAAGGAGTTTTGGATCAATGTTGGCAGCCACCAAACCAAGGAGACCAGCTTTCGGTTACTTAAAACCAAAGACACTCCCCACAGATACACTGCATAGAAAGCAATGAGGAGCCATCTCCAAAAAAGCATGGAGTGAAAAAAAAAAAAACAGAATGAGGTCTGTCACACAATTCTAGGGTGCAGGTTAAAACATACATAAACCACATAGAGGAGGGGAGGGAAAAATAAAATAAGACTGAAATCAGAGAGGTAAACAAACCATAAGAAACTTTTAACTCTAGGGAACAAATTGAAGGTTGCTAGTGGGGAGGTGGAGGGGAGGAAGGGATGACTAACTGGGTTATGGTCATCGGGAAGGGCACTTCATGTAATGAGCATTGGGTGTTGTGTGTAGGGGGTGAATCACTAAACTCTACCTCTGAAACTAATTTAAAAAACATACATAAACCAACACTACCTTTTTTTAAAAAAAGATTTTATTTATTTGACAGAGAGAGAGAAATCACAAGTAGGCAGAGAGGCAGGCAGAGAGAGAGGGGGAAGCAGAGTTCCCTGCTGAGCAGAGAGCCCCATGTGGGGCTAGATCCCAGAACCCCCAGACCATGACCCAAGCGGAAGACAGAGGCTTAACTCACTGAGGCACCCAGGGGCCCCAACACTACCTTTTTTAATGCAATTTACATTTTCAAGAATATATACATGCCAATTGATAAAGGGAAAGCAGGAGCATAATAGGCTGTGGGGGATCTGTGAAGAAAGAGATAAATAAACTAAAATAAAAAGGTTCTCGTACGTGCTGATGGTGGGAGTGATATAAACAGATGACCACGGCTGGCTCCGTTTTCTACACCTGAGGTCCAAAACTGACCCATTAAATTTAATATTTAGTTTTAATTTACTTTAAAGAATGCTTCAATAATTATTAATACATAATTGTAAATAATGTAAATCAGTTATTGTAATTTTAATGCAGTCTAAATATTACATACTGAATTTACCATACCAAAACTAGTCCATGAAACTTACTATACCATAATACTGTCCTCCTAACTGGACAATTCTTTATTTTTTAATTTCCCCAGAACCTCAAACAAACAAACAAAAAATAGGTCCTGGTAACCTCCGGAGCCCCACCTCCCCCAGTCCCAGCCCGTTCTAGGTAGGGACCCCTCAGGATCCTCCAGCCTCGGAAAGGTCTGCTACCGGTGCGGGAGGCGGAATGTGAGCACGTTTTGGCGGAGTGGGGTCTTACTCCAGAGCCGCCTCCGCGGGGGAGGAGCCTCCTTGATTGGGCCCCGCCCACTAGGGGGCGGGCTCTCCGGCCGGTCCAGGTCTCTGGGAGAGGAGGGCACCCACCCTTCCCGGTTCCCCTTCCCCCCGCCCATTCCCGTCCGCTACTGACCCGGCTTGATCCAGCTCAGCCCCGGGGTGTTTGCAGCGGCTCTTTCCCTAAGTCCAGCCATCTGTTACCTGCCTTGCTTCCTGGAGAGAGAGAGTCCTCCTCCCGCTGCCCTGGAGATCCCGCGAGTGTGCCCCCAGGAGCCTGGGGGCTGCTGCGGGCCCCGGCAATGACCGCCTCCTAGGGAGCCTCCACACCTGGGTAAGGTCCCGTGGGAAAGAGAAGACCGCCCCTCTCCTTGACTCTCACTGGGATCCTCACAGCGAACCACTTCTGCCCTCTTAGGGCTCCTGCCCACAGTTTGTCTTCTCTTAAGTTGGGTGGGGTGCTGGGACCCTTCCCTGGCGTACAGGGAGACACTGTTCCCCTCCGTTCTGTGTTACAGGTGCCAGCTGCGTGAGGCTGAGGACCGGGCGTTCTAGCCCCCCACCCCCACCCCTGCCCCAGCTGGAAGAGGAAGAGCCGGGGTTGCCCAGGGGTGGGCTGGGCATGTCTGAGTCTTCATCCTGCCCCACCGGTCCGGAGACCCCTGCCCCAGGCTGTAGGCTGGGGGCCTTGTACTGGGGCTGTGTCCGCAATGACCCTGTCCAGCTTCAAGCTACGTTGGATGGTGGGGTCTCCCCTGAAGAGGCCACCCAGGTGGATGGCAATGGGAGGGTGAGCTACCTCAGGTGTTTCCCAGTGCAGGTAGAGCAACCGTATGTCCTCGCCACAGGACATTCATCCAGTGCCTGGATCCATGGGAGGAAGGGATGGGTCGAGGGTAGGTCTAAACAGAGGCTAGACGTCTCTGGGATGGATGTGGGTTTAGAGGGCACAGGGGCCCCAAGGAGATCCTGGAAAAAATCGCAGGGGCTGAGCTGCTCCTCCCCCAGACAGGTCTCATGGTTGCCTGCTACCGAGGCTTCGAGAGTGTTGTGGCTCTGCTCAGCCGCTGCCCTTTCCTCGATGTGAACCAGCAGGATAAAGAAGGGGACACTGCCCTCATGCTGGCTGCCCAAGCAGGTGAGAGACTGTTAACCTTACCGTCCACCAGTTTCCCCCACTTCAGACAGGGTCACAATCCCATACTTTTTGTATTATGTTCTTCCACCGCAGAGACTGTTGTGTTTGGTGGAGGGTGAGTTTGGGGCTTCATCACGCTCTTTGGGGGAGAGCTAAGCTCTGTCCTTGGTGCTCTGCAGGCCATGTGCCTCTGGTGAGTCTTCTGCTCAACTATTACCCGGGCCTGGACCTGGAGCGCCGAGACCAGCGGGGGCTAACAGCACTGATGAAGGCCGCTGTGCGGAACCGTTCGGAATGCGTGGCTGCCCTCCTCATGGCAGGTGCATGGGGCCTGGACCGGGATTTGTGACCACCAGTCCCTCCCCAAGCCTTCCAGCCTGACGCTTAGTCAGCCGTGTAGTTACAGAGAGGAGAGGTGGACACGGAGGATCAATCTAGGCCGACTTCCTGGAGGAGGGGAGTGTGCTTGAGTTTCTCAGAATCAACGCAGTCCAGCTATTGATGTCTCTGTTTACACTGTGAATGTTGGTCTCAGAAAAGAAAGCTTGGGAGGAAAACCTAGACCAGCTAGAAAAAACATAAATGCTGATATCTGGAACCAGACTCTTGGGTTCTAGTCTTGCCTCAGCCACTAGCCAAGTGACCCTGGGCAGATGCCTTCTCTCTCCCGGTCTTACCAGTATAATGAGGGTGTTGGTTTTCTCTGGGATGACTTCCGTCTCTGACAAGCCAGGATTTCAGGGACACGATGATACGTAGTTGAGGCGTGTGGCCGAGTGGAGTTGTTCTGGGATAAAGTTCACACTGCTCATGAAGTCTTGGGCCTCCACTATTTTTTCAGGTGGGGTTACCATCTGTTGGTCACCCTGGGGACCCCTGGCCTCCAACTCTTCCTTTCCCTATCCCATCTGACTGTGTTTGGGGTGAGAAGGGAGAAAACTCTGCAACCTCCTTTTACCCCAAAATGACTGCTATCCCCCCAGCCCAGATTAGAGGGGTGTGGTGATGAGAAGAATGAGGAGTGGGGGCCCACAGGACCCCCCTTCACTTGCCCAGCATGTGCCACTCAGGCCTCCCCTGTCCTGGGCGACCTGCCCACCATCTGTTCCTTGGCTCCTTACTCTGCTCTAGGTTTGCAGGCCCCTCCACCAGATCTCTCTGAAGTCTTTTTTACTCTCTGGACTTTACTGTTTTCTTCTTTAGTCTTTTTTTTTTTTTTTAAGGATTTTATTTATTTATTTCGGGGAGAAAGAGAGCACAAGCAAGAGGAGTGGCAGGGAGGGAGAAGCAGGCTCTCACTGAGCAAGGAGCCCCATACGGGACTCGATCCTAAGACTCTGGTATCATGACCTGAGCCGAAGGCAGAGGCTTAACTGACTTAGCCGCCCAGGCACCCCTTCTTCTTTAGTCTTAAACAGGAGATCGGGCTCTGGGGCTGATACTGTCCTGAGGCTGTAGCTGCTCACAGCTCCCAGATTCCAGCTGCAGCAGGAGGGGCCTCTGTGGTTTGTAATCCTCCCCAAAATCAGTCCCGCTGCTAAAGAATCCGCCCTTCTGCAAGTTGCCAGTCCTTGTCCCATCCCATGTCATTCCTGTGCCCCCTCCCAGGTGCTGACCTGACAGCGGTGGATCCTCTTCGGGGCAAGACGGCCCTAGAGTGGGCACTGCTGACCGACAGCTTCGACACTGTGCAGAGGATCCGGGCGCTGCTGCGGCGCCCCCAAATAGAGCAGCTGAGCCAGCATTACCAGCCCGAGTGGCCAGCCTTGCCTGGGCTTGTGGCTCAGGCCCAGGCCCAGGCCCAGGCTACCCCATCTCTCCTAGAGCGACTGCAGGCCACTTTGAGCCTCCCCTTTGCCCAGTCTCCTCAGGAGGGGGGTGTCCTGGACCACCTCGTGACCATCACGACCAGCCTGGCCAGTCCCTTCCTCACCACGGCCTGCCACACCCTGTGCCCTGACCGGCCACCTGCGCTGGGCACCCGAAGCAAGTCTGTGCCAGAGCTGCTAGGCACTGCCCCACCCCCTCCCCCAGCCCCCCAGCGCCCCCAGGTAGTCCCTGGCTCCCGGGTCCTCATCCCCTACCAGAGCCGTCAGGGTGTGCTGAGTATGTGCCCTCAGTGGCTACAGCCCAGGGACAGTAGCAGCCCCAGGCCCCCAACCCCCAAGATCCGCCTCTCTAAGGCACCCTCATCTTCCACACAGTACAAGCCAGAGCCCAGGCGCAGAGATAATCAAAGCCTAGCCCTTCCTGTCTGGAGATACCAGGAGCTCAGGATGGAGAGGAAGAGGAGGGAGGAGGAGGAAGATAGGTGAGGAAGATGGATGAGGCCAGGCTGAGAGCAGGTGATCAGGTCCCTCCCTAAGGCTCCTTCACCCTCTAGAGCCCTTTCTGCTTTCCCATTGCTCTCCATACAAATGCTTCTATGCTCTCCTTGAGAGCTTATTCATATGGCATTGTTTGCAATCATCAGAGTGAAAACAACCTAAGTGTCCATCAACTTAGCAAGGCAACTAGCTAAGTTCCTTATGGGTGTGATCATAGCACATCCATAGGATATATTCTGTACAGTGGTAAAACAAGGTTAAGGAAGCTTTGTATGTTCTGATATGAAACTCTCTTCGAGATGTATTAAGTGTAAATAATCAAGGGGTGAAACAGCGTGGATGGCGTGCTACTGTTTGTCAAGGGAAAATGTGCACCGAGATAAACTTGACCCTGGTTTACGTTATACAAACGTATACTGAGTACCAGGGTGTATTTAACTACATAGTGAATGAAGGAATGAAGGAGGGAAAGGAAAAACCATTACCTGACAGTGGAGAGAAAAATGTCTGAATAAGATTGGAAAGGCAGGTACAAAAAAGTTTAATTCCTACTTAGCAATAAAACCATCACTTTTTTGTTCTGCCAGAGAAAAATAGTTTGCTATTTATCAGTCTTCAACAGCTTAACCTCTTAACTTTATGTAAGGTCTGGGCCCTAATAAAGAGTAAATAGTATGTCAGACAAAATTACTTCCCCTTGATGACCCATAGGTGGGGTTATTAGCCAGTGATCTAAAATTGCTTGAAAAGGCACTTAGTAATTTTTTGTGTGTCTTATTTATAGTTTTTTTTCTCACTTTTTTTTTTTTTAAGATTCTATTTTTAAAGTAATCGCCACACCCAAAGTGGGACTCAAACTCATAATCCTGGGATCAAGAATCACGTGCTCCTCCGACTGAGCCAGCCAGGCACCCCTGGGTATTTTTTCTTAATGCATTTGCTTGTTTATTTGCAATAGTAAAAGCAACCATTTGTAAGGTGCTTACTATACACATTAATGTGTTTAACACTCCCAATAATCCTGTGAGGATTTTATCTTTGAGGACACAGGACACAGAGAAGGTAAGGAATTAACCTGGGGTCACACAGCTAGAAACTGGTAGAGATCAAGATTGAGAGCCAGCCATCTAGTTGTGGAGGCCAGGCTCTCCACTGGTGCCCTGCTGCCTCACTGGAACCTCACTGGGAAGAAACGTGGTCGTTTGCTCAGCAAGATGATTGAGCAACTGACCCAGGGCAGAAGGGAAACTTTTCACTGAATATCTTTTTGAAACTTTTGACTTTTTTTTTTTTTTTGACACAGAGAGAGAAATCACAAGTAGCCAGAGAGGCAAGCAGAGAGAGAGGGGGAAGCAGGCTCCCTGCTGAGCAGAGCCCTACTCAGGTCTCAATCCCAGGACCCTGAGATTGACCTGAGCCTAAGGCAGATGCTTAATCCTCTGAGCCACCCAGGCACCCCTGACTTTTTTTTTTTTTTTTTAAGATTTTATTTATTTGACAGAGAGAGAGAACACAAGCAGGGGGAGTGGGAGAGGGAGAAGCAGGCTTCCTGTCAAGCAGGGAGCCTGATGTGGGGGCTCGATCCCAGGACCCTGGGATCATGACCTGAGCCGAAGGCAGACGCCCAACAACTGAGCCACCCAGGTGCCCCGAAACTTTAGACTTTTTAAAAAAGCTTCATTTTTTACAACAGTTTCAGATTTACAGAAGAGTTGTGGCGATGGTGCAGAGTTCCCACACTCCATACTCCGTGACCTCTTGTCAACATGCGTATAGTACGTGCATTACAATTAGTGAACCAATATTAACGCATTATTACTAAAGTCAAAACTTGTTTCAGATTTCCTTAGATTTTCCCTGATGTCCCATTTATTTATTTATTTATTTATTTATTTATTTATTTATTTTTAAAGATTTTATTTATTTATTTGACAGAGATCACAAGTAGGCAGAGAGGCAGGCTGGGGTGGGGGAGGCAGGCTCCCTGCTGAGCAGAGAGCCTGATGCGGGGCTCGATCCCTGGACCTCAAGATCATGACCTGAGCTGAAGGCAGAGGCTTAACCCACTAAGCCACCCAGGCGCCCCCTCCTTTTTTTTTAAGATTTTATTTATTTATTTGACAAACACAGATCACAAGCAGGCAGAGAGAGAGAGGAAAGCAGGCTCCCCACTGAGCAGAGAGCCTGATGCTGGGCTCCATCCCAGGACCCTGAGATCATGACCTGAGCTGAAGGCAGAGGCTTTAACCCGCTGAGCCACCCAGGCGCCCCTGATGTCCCTTTTCTGTTCAGAATTCCATCCGCGATATCATATTACATTTAGTTGTCATGCCTTTGTAGATTCCTCTTGACTGTTACAACTTGTCCAATTTTCCTTGTTTCTGATGACCGTGATGATTTTGAGGAGTACTGATCAGATGTTTTGTAGAATATCCCTCAACTGGGATTTATCTGATGTTTTTCTCATGAGGAGACTGGGGTTATGGACTTTCAGGAGGAAGACCACAGAGGTGACTTGCCATTCCCGTCGCATCCCATGAAGGGTACGTGCTGTGAACATCACGGTTGAGGGAACCTCGATCACCTGGCTGAAGTAGGGTTTCTCCCTGTGATGTTTCTTTTACCCCTCCCTAGATCATGCTCTTTGGAAGGAAGTCATTACATGAAGCCCACATTGAAGAAGTGGGGTGTTACATTCCATCTTCTTGGGGCTGGAGTATCCACATAAATTACTCGGAATTGTTCTACACAGAACATTTGGACTTTTTAGTCATGTATTACTAAATTTTGAAAAATTAAAAAATAAACCTGTTCTTTGAATAGGGGAGAGCATGGAGACACACACTGAGGTGAGAGCGACTATTTGGGTTAGGCAGTGTGTGATTTCTCCAGGGGGTTATTTTTGTTTTGTTTTGTTTCTTTTTTAAGGATTTATTTGTTTATGTATTTGAAATGGAGCACGCGAGCATGAGTCAGGGGAGGGACACAGAGAGAGGGGGAGAGAGAGAAGCAGACTCCTGCTGAGTGTGGAGCCCACTGTGACATGGGGCTCGATCCTAGGACCCTGAGATATGACGTGAGCTGCAGCTGAGTCAGCAGCTCAGTTGACTGAGCCACCCAGACTTCCCTTTGCTGGAGGCTTCTGAAGGCAACTATGGTGGATTGGACTAGATTCCAGGCTAATTTACCATTTCCTACCTGTGATTAAGACAATTTCCTCTTGCCTCTGTTTTCGCATCTGTTCATGGGGGAAGACAGGGTTTTGGGAAAGATCCATTAGTAAATCTGAGTTAAGAGGTCCCATTAAACTGTAAAGTGCTACCAAGATTTGAGGTACTATGGAAGGGTCCTGGGGGACTGAGTTTGACTGAGCTATTTCTGGGCCTCCGGGATGGAGCTGGGGTCCTTTCCTCCCATCGAAGACGGAAAGAAACTACATCTGCCGGCTTGGAACAGTGTGGTGGTTACACGCTTCAGGCTGGGAGATGGCTGGTGACCTTGGGCAAGTCATTGAGCCTGTCTGAGCCTCCAGGCTCTCACACACGCCATGGAGGTGACACTAACATGTCAGCACGGGGCCGCTGAGAGAATTCAGCCAGCTGGAACTGTCCTGGCCTTAGCATCACCATTACCCTATTGAATCCTCATGACCTTCCTATTTTATAGTCAAGGGAACAGACTATGATTAAGCCACTTGCACAAGGTCACCAACTGGTAGAGGAGAAGTGGCACTCGGAGCTCACGTCTGTGGACCCTGGAGTCTGTTTCCTTTCCACAGCGGCACATGGCCTCTGCCCACGGCCCGGCTGCCTGGGCTTTCTGAGCCTCTTCCTGCCACGTTTAACCAGCCTGAGTTGTCCTAAGGCACAGGGGGGGACGTCAGAATCTTAAGGACCAGAGAAATAACCCTCCGTGGCTCGCTCTCCCTCCCGGCCAGCATGGGCTGGATCTGGGTTGGGGGCTTCCACAAGTAGGCAGTCATCCTCCCGCAGAAGCAGCCTCTCCATCTTGGAGCCCCACCATCGGTCCCCAGCCACCCTGGGGCAGCTCTAGTCCCAGGTCTGCAGTCCCACAAGTACCCTGCCCAGGCCAAGCAAGCATTTTGTCTAGAATCCTCTAACAGCTTCTGACAGCCTTTCAGGCTTCCAGAGAGGAAAGACACCGATGTGAGCTGCTCTGCTTGTGCTGCCCAAACATCCCAGCTTCTCCACCAACATCCCAGCTTCTTCCCATGCCAGCCCAGCTCCTGCAGCTCCGCATGGAGTCCCCGTCAGCGGAGGCGGGGGAACCCAGGGCCAGGTTCCTGACTGTGCAGAGGATGGCCCTGCAAAAGCGCCCTGCTCAGGCCGACTCCTGACTTTGGATCCCAGCTCTGCCTCTGACCATCTCCATGACCCAGGACTGCTCCCAGCCTCAGTCTCCTAATTTGTAACATTCAGCCGTGATAGTATATAATCTTTACTTCCCAGGGTTGTCCTGCAGCCTAAACAGGGAGTGGGCTATGTGGGCACCGAGTGTGGCCCAGCCAACAGTCAGCAGCCCCATCAACAACAGGTTTTATGACTGGGCTGATCTGCAAGGGGTGTGGCCAAGGGGGTGGCTCTGAGGAGAAGGCCAGTGGGACATGTCCTGGGAACCCCGTGGCATACCCCCATGATCCCAGGATGCTACTCTGGTGGGCCCTGAAGTGGAAACATGCTTATTCCAGACAGCCTTCTCAGAGCTGATCCTGGAAACTCTGCGCACCCCCACCCGGGGCACTCTCAGCCCCCTGCCTGTCCCCACAGCACTGAGGGCTGCCAGCCTGCTCCCCGCATGTGCGTGCGCACCCTTACCCTGCCCAACAGGGGCTCCTACAAAAGGGACAGAAACGTTGGCTTTTCGGACACACTGGGATGTCAGTCAGCCTTGTGAGGACTCCTGGGACAGCCTCCCCTCTGTCCTGCATGGGCTGAACCTGGGTCTGTCTCCCCAGTTCCTGGCTCCGC